GGTTAGGTAAGATGGCCGGCCACACCTGATCCCACCGTGGACCCCACTCCTGACGCAGTGCTGGGCACTGGCTGCCCTGGGCAGGGATCTTCGGGAAGGGGGGAGGGGCCGAAAAGCCGATCCTCCGGCTTCCTGGAGCCGGCCTCCTCCTGGAGGTGAGGGCTACCCTGTCAGGCCCGGGGGGCTTTGTCCCTCTGACGGTGATGCATGGCCCCAGTAGCTCCCTGAGCGAGTTCGTGGCTGAGAGTTCTGGCGCAGCTGCTGCCCCCCCCCCCCCGCCACCCCCAGGCGCTCGGCGATGCCAGGCTGCGGTGCAAATTAACACCATTTGTTCTGCAGAATGTGCTTCATTTCTGTGTTCCACACAGAGCTCATTACCTCGCGGCAGCTCCTCCATCCCCAGCCCACCGCCTGCACTGCATGGGGGAGGGTGCTGGGTTGGGTCCTTGGACCGTGAACTGGAATGCTGGTGGGCTCTGGGAATCGTTTCTGGGGGGCTCCTGGCCTGACACTCCAGCAGCATCATTTCTGCACCTCCCAGCCCTGTGGCCTTCGGCTAGTGGGAGTGGGAGGTGGGAATGATTTGACCTCTGAGTCCCTGCACTGGCCTCCCAGACAATCAGACCACTTGGCCAAACTGGAGCTCAGCTCTCAGGAAAAGGCATCAAGTCTTATTTTGTCACTGTGGGTGACAGTTGTCAAGGTCAGAGCAGGCAGTTAGATAAAGACTCCACCCAGAGGCCAGGCCAGGCAGGCGAGGCCCCGGGTGGTTTGGGGGAGGCTGGCAGCCCTGGAGCCCCTGTGTGTGGCACAGTGGGTCCAGGAACTGGCTACCCACCTCTGATCCTGGGCAGAGTTTCCAGGATGGGACCCTGAGGGCACTGGAGGGGGCTGGGGGTGAGCACCTGATGCCCAGGGAAGGCCTGGGGGTAGGACTCAGGCCCAAGGGGCACAGCCAGCCTGTGGTCACCACCTGCCATGGGAGCCTGGGGTCTTATGGACCCCCTCACATGGCAACTCTCACCATGGTCCCCTGTTTCCAGGGGGTCTTGAGGCAGCCACTGTCCCTCCAGAGCTAGGAGACTGGGCTAAGCAGAGGGACCCAGCGCAGAACGGCAGCTGGACCCCATGGAGGATCTCGTTAAAAGACCTGCCCTTCACTGGCTTCCCCGGCTTAGACCAGGGCCCACAGGACCGCCTCCCACAGGCCCCATGTGCTGGCCTCCCCCCTCCCCCACTGGGCTTCCTCACCCACCTGCCCTGCCCCCACTTGGGGGCTGGGGTCCCAGGGAGGTGCACCTGGGGAGCTCACACTGTTTGTAGAAGCTGCTTGTCCCCAGAGCATCCCCCAACCAGGGCAAATCTCCCTGGGGGCTCCAGAGTTCTGGAGTTCTTTCCCTGATAGTGGCGACATGGAGGCCACTGGGCCGAAGGTTCCACAGGGTTCCCAGGGCTTCTGCGGTACACCTTGAGGATGGTCCGGGGAGAGAGGTGGCAGGGGTTTGTGTAGACCCAGGGTGGCTAATGGCAGTGGCTGGCCTTGGCCGACCAGAGCCTCGTCCCTGATCGCTGGCTTTTCCTGGGGGCAGTTGGGGTGCAGCACCACCCTTCCATGAACTCAGATTTACAAATGAGAAAGTGGAGGCTCAGAGAGGGCAAAGGTCACACAGCAAGCTGGGAGCTGGACTCAGCATCGAGCACTTTGCACCCCCACCCTCCTCCACTCCACCCCTGGCCCCTGATGAGCCGAGGCCAGGCGGTACAGGCATCGGTGTGGGGGAGCCACCTGAGCCCCATGCCTGAGCCCCACCCACCTCACCCTCCTCTCCTGTCTGTCCAGCCCCCGCCCCGTCACCCAACAACCCAGCCTCCAGCACCAACAGAACCTCGGCTTCAAGCTTAGACACACACCCTTGTATCTGAGAGGTGGGAGGAGTGCTGTCCCACCCAGGAGCCGGCCTTGGATCAGGGAGCAGAGGAGGGGCGCCTGGAGGCCATCACCGCCCACGGAGCTGCAGAGATGCTGGCTGTGGGGCTGGGCAGGTGGGGGCAGTGACAGGGATGGGGAGCATCCAAGGATGCGCCTGGCACCGTGGGAGGACACCTGCCCAGGGCGCTGCTATCAGGAGGCTCTCGGCAGCTGCCCACAGGCGCTGACAGTTGGGCAGTCAACACCTGTCCCGAGGGATTTGGTTGGGTTGTTTGGTTCTCCCACTTCGTAGAATGCTAAACTGGGACTTGGGGGACAAGGATCCATGCATGTGGAGCACTTGGCCCATCTGTGAGCAGTGGCTGAGGCCACTCAGGGCCAAGCCCCGGCTCGTGAACCCCCAGTCATCCTGTTCCCATCAGACATGGCTAGGGCAGGGTGCAGTGACCATGACCCTGTCCGTTGAGACTCAGGGACATGGTGGGGAGACCTGGGGGCTCCCTTACAAGCTGCGGATGGCAGTTGGGGTTCTGTGTGGACTTTGCAAAGGTCTGGGGATGCCCAGTGTGACCAGCATGGGGTAATGTCAGTGTGCATGACCCAGAGCATGGGGTCGGGTCCATTCTGCTCCATTATGAAGCCCCGTCTCCATGCGTGGAAGCCAGCACCTAGGTGTTCGACTGATACAGAATAAGCAAGTGGATGGACGGATAGACAGATGGATGGGTGGATGGCAGGTGACCAGTGTGGCCACCACACGGCAGGTGGGACATTATTGGCTGTGCACTGGTCTTGGTGTGAGGCAGGGGGCCATCAGACACCACAGCAAATCATCGAGGGGAGCTATAGATGCCTTTCTAGCTGGGGCTGCAGAGCAGACGGCTTGTCCACATGGGGCAGCTGGTGCTCACGTGAGGTGGCCAGGGTTTGATGCAGTGGGTGGGGGGTCTGCCCAGCAGACGCCCTCTCGTTCCCAGGACCTTTCTGTGAGGCTGGGTCCCAGGCTCACTTTCTGTGGTGTGGGAAACTGCAGAGGCTGTTCTGTCAAGAAACAGAAAGACTCCATGAATATTTCATTAGGGGGTGCTGTGCCGGCCTCCAGGAATGTCTGGCAGGGTCTCCAGGGAGCTGGGAGCCCTGTGCAGGAAGCAGGACTGTGAGATGCTTGGGGTGGGGTGGGGCTTGGAGACAGTAGGGGGGCACCAGCCTCTGCCCCTGCAGGTGCCTCTCGTGTCCAGCCGACTGTGGTCCTTCATGCTCTGCCTGTCACCGTGCTGGCCTGAGCTCCACCCCATTTCTGTGGACAAAGACTTGCTGACATGAGGGCAGAGGCCCTGGGCCAGCTTCCTCATTGCCCTCAGCACAGCTCCCATGGCCCACACCCTGCCCCACCCAGGCCTGTGACCAGGTCAGAGCTGCTTAGGGGGCAGGGGACCCCAGAGAGCGGCGAGACCTGATGAGGCCATGGAGCTGGAGCAGCAATGGGACCGGGGTACCCAGAAAGGTTTGATGGGGAAGTTGGCTGTGGTTGGGGGGTCCCTGCACCCATCACTGGGGGCACGGTGGATGGGCACAGTTGCCCAAAGACCCTGGCGTTCCGAAATCCCCTACTGGGTGTTCAGACTAGGGCTCACCTGGGCCTGATCAGCACCTGCCCTGCTGGCGGGAGTGTCAGGGAGGGCAATGGAGAGACCTGGGGCTAGACAGGTGACCCCTCAGCCTCAAAGACCTGGCCAACCCACAGAGCGGGGAAGGCTCTCCACAGGGCCCCGCTGTCCCACGGGCCACTCACCCAGGGGGCTGCCCACTGAGGCTGGGAGACCTTGCTCTCCTGCTGCTTCCAGGAGCCCCCAGAGTGCTACCCACCCAGTGCACTGAGGCTGCTGGCCCAGTTCCCAGAGATGGCGGCTGGGCTGGGTGCCTCCTTCAGACCCCCATTACCCGCCCCATTACCCACCCAGCGAGGGGAATGGCCTGTCGCTGGGAACCCCTTTCCTCTGCCCAAGTGACTGCCCGGAGCCCAGACCCCTCTCTGCCCCCCAAAGCCAGGCCCCTCCAGCCCCACCAGACTCTGCGCTTGGCTTTTCAGGCTCCTCCTGGCTTGGCAACACTGGGACCAGCCTCTGCCCCGGGTGCAGGCACCAAGGAGGAACCACCACACCCCGCCCCACCACGCCCCCCATGCACCTTCTGTCTTGGATCTATACCGGGTACTCTGAGTGTCAAGGAGAACAGCGTCCAGCCCAGGGTCCCTGGGGTGGCAGAGGTGTCTTGTCTGCTCCTGTGCCCCTGGCCAAGACCTGCATCCCTGTGCCCCTCAACCGAGGTGCTCAGGGGCCGCTCCCCCCGCCACCACGGGTCCTGACTGGGGAGGGGTGGCCAGGCGCCTGCAGGGCTTTGTCCAGGGAGCCTCTGACACGAGTCCTCCCCATCCAGGCAGCTCGCCCCCACCCCGTGCCCTCGACAGCTGGGCTCCTTGGCACCGCCATCCAAGCTCCTGTGACAGGCACGCTTGGCCGTGGTCCCGCGGGTCTGCACACAGCCCTGCTGCGCCAGGCAGGTGGTGGGGCTTGGGGCAGAAGGGAGGAGGGAGAGGAGTCTCGGGATCTCCCAGCCCATCCAGGTGTCGCCCTCCAACCACCTTTCCCAACCCTGCCTGATTTCCCCAGGTTGGTCTCCAGGAAGAAACAGACATTCAAGGACGGTTTGGGGACGTTCCAAAATGGGGGACCGAGAGGACCTGGCCCTGAGAGCCGCAGGGCTTCTCAGAGTGGAGACGATGCAGCCACAGGACCCTGGAGGGATGCCCGAGCACCAGAGCTGGAGGTGCTGCCATGCGGAGCCGGGGACCCGGGTGTGCCTACTGGTCGCTTCATTCCCTGCTGCAGGGGCGACCGACCCACTCCTGCACCCAGGACAGCGCTTGGGGAGCCTGGGGCTGAGAGAGCCAACTGTGCTGGTCCGGACATGGAGGGCCTAGACCCCCACTGATCCCGAAAGCTGGTGCCATGTCGTCCGCACCCAGGCCAAGACCCGGCCACCTGCCGGATGAGCCCCACGCGGCTATTACCTGTGCTGCGCTGGCCGCCTGCTCCCAGCCGGTCCTCCGTGGCTCCTCTGCCAAGCGGCTGCCGCCTTCAGGATGGGCTGCCAGCAATTTGCCGCGGGTTTTGTTTGTGAGTATCGGCCCCGCGCGCCCGCTGGCACCCAAGAGGCCCTGGCCCTGCCGCTCTTCATGGCAAGTGTCCATCCTCCCCTCCTCGGCGGCCCCTCACCTCGCCCTCCTCCCGTCCCCGCCGCACCAGCCCGGACGAAGCCGGCCAGCCTCTTGCAGCTGAGTGCAGCCACGCTTCCTTTTTCCGTATTTTAAACGCACACACATACTCTGGCACACGCACACGCGCACACGCGCACACGCCAGGCCCCCACCCCTGACGACACGCATCCCGTCTGTCGGGAGCAGCTCCAGCCAAGACAGCCCGGCAGTGGGCGGTGGAGACCCAGCTTCTGCACGCCTCCTTTCGCCATCGCCTCCCTCTTCTGCCAACCACTGGGAAGGAGACAGGCCTGAGTCACGCCACCCTTCAGAGACCCCACGCAGGTCCACCTGGTCAGCAGCCTGGTCCCTCTGCACCCCGCCCGGCCCCAGTGTCCCACCGTCCATGCTGTCCCAATGATCACGCCCACTCCCCATCCTTCCCTGAGGGGTGCTCGTTTGTGGCGGGCCGACCGCGGGGCTCGTGCTGGGCAGCCAGCTGGGCAAGCGTGGGGCCAGCCTCCTGGAGCCGACAGTGTAGCAGACATGGTGAAGCGTGGCTCTGGGGACACGCGTGGGCTGCGTGGGGGTGACTGAGTCTGCCTGAGGGGCCAGGGCGGGGCCCCAAGTGGGAGTGAGTGTTCAGACCAACCTCACACCAGGACCAGGGAGGCAGGGAGAGGGGCCTTACTCCAGGGAGAAGACGGCAGGGTAGATACCCTGCTGCTGGCTCTGAGCCCGCCCTGGGTCACTCCTGGAACCTGATGTGGTCGGCACTTAGCTACTTCTGACCCAGGAGTCGGCCGCGGCCGCCAGGGGGCAGGGGATATGGGTAGGACGCAGAGCGAGGACCTGGGCCTTAGTGACCCCCAGCAGCTCTTTCCCCCTGGACCTCCTGCCTCCCTCCTCCCACCACTGAGAAAACGACCTCTTCTGGACCAAGCCCCTTGCCACGGTCTCAGGGAGACTGCAGAGACCGCCACCCCCACAGACACAGGTGGGAGGCAGGCGGCTCTTCAGACTGTTCCTGCCTGTCTCTGGCTAGGGGGTCTGTTTCGGTCAAGCAATCACCAGCCCTCCCTGAGCACCTGGCCTTGCCAGGAACCTCTCTGATCTTCTGTCTCCAGTCCTCGCTTTGCCCTTCTCTCTGTGAATTCTTTTCCTACCAGTTATTCTAAGCACTAGAAAACTGTAATTGGCTTCAAAACTCCTTGAAGAGCCCCAAGTGGTCAAGAAGGAAAAGTTGCTGCCAGATGGCCCTTCTCTGTGGGGCTGAGGCCCAGTGGCCCCTCTGCTCTGCCTGGGCCCCGCCCTCCACTACATCCAGGTGGCTCCGAGGTGACCTCCAGGGCCACCTCTGACCTTGAGGTCACTGGGTCTCCCTCTATGTAGGGTGGGCCCAGGCCCCACTCCCCACCCTCGTTCTCTGGAACATTCCAGCAGCTCCTACTGAGGTAGCGCTCTTCCTCCCTCCTCAGAGCCCCGTTTTAAACTGTGTTCAAACACTCATACAAGTCACCATTGAAAGCACCTGGGAGAGCAGAGGTCAATGGCGTCCAACTGGTCCCCAGGCTGTGCAGCCACCAGCTCTGTCCAGTTCCAGAAAGTTCCGTCTCTGACCCCAGCCCAGCCATGTCAGCTTCCTGCCTGGGGTTCCCCACACAGGGTACCACCCACACATGGCTCCCCTCTGGGGTGCTTCGAGGCTTCTCCGCACCGTGGCCTGCAGCAAGCCGCCTTCCTGTGGGGCTGACTTGGCTCCTCCTTCAGTGACCCTGCTTCCTCCTGTGCAGCCGGTGACCCTTTCCACAGTGACCACAGGCTATGGCCCAGTGGGGCTGTGATGAGAATGAAGGTTTTTAGTGACTCAGGATGGCTCCTAGCCTGGCAGGATAGGAGGAGGCACGATTCCCTGGAAACAAGCCCAGTCTGTCTTAGTCAGGTTGAGAGTCACCCTGCCCCGGCCCCCCTGCCCCTTGGATGAGGTCATGCGACTGACTGTGCTCTATGTCCGGCTGAGTGCACCCAGCCCCAGGGCCCGAGGCCCACGGCCACCCTAGCGTTCGCCCCTGTGGGGTGAAACAGCTGCCATCTGTGCGTGGTTGTGGGAGCCAAGTCCCGTGGAAGTGAAGAAGCAAAGGCTCTAGACGTCCTGGCTGACCACTGGACAGGGAGAGCAGGTGTGGCCACAGGATGACGAATCCATCGTGGGCCTGAGACTGGCGTGCTCAGGGCAAGGTCAACAGGAGGGCAGCCCATCAGGAAGGTGGACCAGCAGCCTTGATCTGACCACCGAACTGCACCAGCAGAATGGCCCCAAGCCCAGCATCCTGGGGATGCCTGTGTGTGCAGCTCCCAGAGGCCCAGCCTCCCCCGCAAGGCCCGCCCCCAACTTTCCGGGGCTCCATCTGTCATGCTGATGGATGGGCTGAGTCGGGGGACCCCCAGCTGGGGTCAGCGCCCTGCTGCCTGTGGGACTCATGCCTCATCCATCACCAGGGGCTTCTGGCCGGCTGGGTGGGGCAGCTGCACGAGTGCCCAGCACGTGCCTTCAGAGGCCACCAAGTGGGCACTAAGTGCCTCTCCCCGCAGTGCCCCCTTTCCAGCCAGGGTGGGTGGGTGCATGGCCAGACTACACCTGCCTCCCTCAGCCTCCAGAACCCTGGCCAGGCACCACGTGATGCTGCCTGCCATGGCAGAGAGGCTTCTGGTGGCCTGGCTACAGGAGGGGTGAACCCCAGGGTCTATGCAGTGGGCTGAGCCAGGCGCTGGGGTAGGCTGCCTGCAGCCACACCTGGTGACTGCACATGCGAGATGCAACCAGCAGCCTCAGTCCAGGTCCAGCTCTCCAGGTGTGGCCTTGCAGCGTCACACATTCTGTGACCTCTGGGCCTCGGCCTCCAGGCAGCTCTGGCAGCGCTGCTCCTGAGGCCTCCTGAGGCTGAGGGGAGCTTGGACAGAAGGGGAGCACATGCAGGTGCGGTCTGCCTGCCTGAGTGCTGTGGGCACACTTGAGCACATGGGCTCCAGGTGTGCGTGAACGCACAGGCTGCATCTGTGGGTAGGTGAGTGGGATGGGTCCCACTTCCACGGCCCCCTTTCCACCACTGAGCTCCCCAGGGCTGGAAGTGATCTCGGGGTCAGCCCGTCCAGCCCTGCAGCCCATCTTGAGTCCTGGGTCCCCCACGGCCCTCCCAGCTCTGCAGGGCTGACTAGAGGCATGCGATTAGATGCTGATGCCAGGGCCTTGATATGTCTCTCCCACCCTCGTTGGTTCAAGTTGGCCTGGCTGTGTGGTCTTGTGTCCGGTTCTGTCCTGATTTGCCCTTGGCCTAAGGGAACATCAAGCACAGTGAGTCCTGGAAGCAAATGGCAGGCGTTTCCTCTCCTTTCACACCTTTTCCTGCCGGCCCCTCCAACCTCCCTGCTCTTCCTGGAACTCACACTGGCTCCTGCCCCAGGACTTTTGCACTGTGGTGCCATCAGCCTGGAAGTTGCTTCCTCACCAGGCTTCCTGGGGAGCCTCCCAGCACTTTTCACATGCCCACATCCCCTAGACTTTCTTTGAGGTGCTTCTGCTGAGAAACGCTATGTTACTGACCCCCAAGAGACTGGCAGCTCCATGAGGGCAGGTGCACGGCCACAGACCAAGCCACAGGTGGTAGCTGAATGAGGCAGTGGATGGGAGGGAGCTCCCTGCCCATCCATCGACTGTCCATCAGCTTCCCTCTGATGCTGGAGGCCTCTGGCTTCCACTGGGGCTGCCTTGGGACTTGTTGGGACGAGGCCCACAAGTTACCCCTTGGGGCCTGCACTAAGGCCTGGTCGGGCAGTGGCTCTTACTATCTGGGGGCTCCCTGTGTGCCAGGCCCCACAGGTGAGTATCACCTGCCATCACTTCCCCAACAGCCTGGGATGCCCACACAGCCTACTCCACTTAGACAAGGAAACCCAGGCTTAGACATGAAGTGCCCACAACTCAAACTCCAGGGACTTGATTGCGACATGCGCAGCCCCCTGCCCTGCCTTTGTGGGTGAGTGGGTGGGACCTCCTGCACCCTGTACCCCAGCTAGGGTGGGTGGGTGTCTGTGCACATGTGCTGGGCCATGTGAGTTGTGCTGGGGAGTGTGCAAGTAGTCAGGCTGCCAAGGACCACCAGGTGCTGCTTGGCGGTCCTGCCAGTTTCTAAGACATCTGTCCTACCTGGCAGACATCCAGCCTGCTTGTGAGATCACTGGACTCAGGGTGGGGAGATAGTCAAGTGGTACTGGGAGTTTAAGTTGATTTTCATTAAGGAAGGAGGTGACATTTGAGGGGTAAGAAAGCATTGTGTCTGCAACTTCATGATAATGTAGAGAGAATGGTAAAGAAACGTCAAATATTAATAATTGGGGGAACCAGGAAAAGGTATGTGGTATTCTTCCTGTGATTCCCCCAAATTTTCTGTCAGTTTGAAATTGTTTCAAAATGAAAAGTTACAAAATAACAAACATGATAATGTTATCAAGTGGGATTTTCTCCTCTGACCTGTTGATGTGAGGAATTCCAAAAGCAGGTCTCACATGGAACTACCCTGGGGTTCCTGAACGGACCACACTTGGAAAAGTGCAGTGTTCTTTCAAATACCATGAGATTCAATCTCGAGAATTTGTTTCAGCGTGTTGCTTTCAAAGCCATAGTCAGAGCAATCTGTATTTCCTCTTCTTTCTGTGTTATCTTTATTTGGTTTTGCTATCAGGGTTAAGCTAGCCTCATAAAATAAATTGGGAATCAGTTTTCCTCGACTCTTTAGAAGAACTCACCTGTAAAACCTTCTGAGCCTAGGGCCCTCCTCAGAATAACCTTTAAATTATTTTTTCAGTTTCTTCTTTGGTTGTGTTTATTGGCTTATTTGGATTTTCTACTTCTTTACGTCAGTTTTGATCACATACATTTCTAAAAAGCTATGTATCTCAGTAATATTTAGAGTATATTGGTATAGGATCGTGCCTGT